GGTTCAATCCCCAGTATTTAAAAAAAAAAAATTTATATAGGAAATTCATTTGTAGGAAATTCATTTGCTAGAAAACATTACACTAAATAAAGAAGACATACACTAAGAGTCACATATTGTCTGAGTCCATTTATATGAAATATCCTGAACAGATAAATTATCCATAGAAACAGAAAGGTGGTTATCAGCAGGGAGGGTGGGGAAAATCACTTTTTTTTTTGTAGTTGTAGGTGGACAGAATGCATTTACTTTGTTTTGTGTTTTTGTTTTTTAAATGTGGTGCTGAGGATCGAACCCAGTGTCTCATGCATGCTAGGCAAGCACTCTGCCACTGAGCTATAGCCCCAGCCCAGAAATCAGTATTTTATGAGTTCCATTTTTGAAATGATGAGATGTTTTAGAATGAAGTAGCAGTGGTAGCTATACAGTATTTCAAATTTATGAAAATGCCACTGAACTACTCATTTTAATATGGTTAATTTTGTCAATTTCTCTCCAATTTTAAAAAACAAGAAGTCTCTTACATAATAAGTTTAAAAAGGTAGAAAGCAAAGACATTTGCATAAATGTGAAAGTAAAATCTGGTCTGTTTCATATCCAAGACTATCGAAAAAACACTTCATTTTGAGATTAGTGAAACACGAGCCATATAAAACCCATTTCTGAACTATAATCATTTATTTTAAAAAATATTGAACTTTCTCTTGGTGGTTTAATTTTGGGAAGAGGAAAAAAAATTAAGTAAGCAGCAAAGCCCTGTATCTCCTTTAATTATGACAAACTCCAATGAACTGAATTCCTCTGCAGTCTACCTCAGATGCATAAATAAATTCCAAAGAAAAAGTTTAAATCCTTTTAATCCTCACTTTAAAAGATCGTTAATTTATACAGCAGAACTGTAAGTATAAAATTTGGTTTCAGAGTTAAGGAGAACACCAGCATTTAAGGATTTTAACCTAAAGAAATTTACTATTATTCAAGGGCTAGTCCTCTAAGAACTTCAGTAAACCAACCTATTGTGGATTTTTTTGGGTATATTAACTCTAGGTAGAATAGATTTAATAATTAGAATCAATAGACTACATTAAGGTCAAATGGTCAATTTAGAAATAAGTAGCAATGCATCAGGATATTTTTATAACATTTGTTTTTATTGAGGTAAGATGTATTTAAATTTACCATTATAATCACTTTTAAGTGTACAGTTTTGTGGCATTAAATACATTTACAATGTTGTACAGTACCACTTTCTTTCTCCAGAACTTTTTCATCTTTTCAAATGGAAACTATATCTACTAAACAGCAAGAGCAACAGCAACACCATTACCACACCACACAGCACCATACCACACCCCAGGTTCCCTGCCAGGCAATTGTACTTTGTGTTTTAAGTACTCTAGATACCCCATATAAATGGAATCATACAACATTTTTCTTTTTTGTCTGGTTTATTTCACTTAGCATGATGTATTCAAGGTTCATCTATTTGTACTATGTATCAGAATTTTCCTCCTTTTTTAGGTTGCCTATTCCACTGTATATACATACCACATTTATTTATTCACTTATCCATCTATAAAAATGTGAGTTACTTCCATCTTTTGGCTACTGTGCATAATAATTTTTATTACAAAGCATATAAAATAGTTCCTTAAAATTTGAGTAGAATGACTAAATTCTGTGGACCTATAAACAAATGAATACTATTTTAGCAAGATTCTTCTATTTTGTATCAGCTAAGCTTAAAGTTAATAGAAAAAGTAAATATAAATGTAAAACATTACCAAAGACAACTTGTTACAAAGTAGGCTACAAATTTTTAAAAAGCTATAGTAAAGAAATATATTTTCACATTTTATCAGTGTAGTTGTGCTACAAATGGCTATTCTAAGGGCTATTCTTAATGCCCTTTCTAGGAAGTGTCACACAAAGCAGGGACAGTTATATCACAAACATCCTATGATTAAACACAAGCCAAGGAACCAACCAATGTCTCCTCATTCATGAAAGTGGTTTTCCATTTGCAAATATCTGTGCATTTTACAGCTCATGGATCAGAGAAAAATGGATACATTATAGATTCAAAATCCAATTAACATTTGTGATAAGGCCCATTTTGCCTTTAGACCCACAAAAAGCCCTCAAGTCTACAAAACCACTCTCCATTTAAAACAATGTACTTTTAATTTACTCTTTCATAAAAATGAAGAGATTTTCATCAATATTTTGGGAAGTAAATGACACAAATAAAATGTGCATAGCACGTAGTAATCACTTAAAGTGTGATACAATTATTATTTAGATGCAATTACCTCCACATCTTGTAGCAACCTACTTGTTAATTTTCCCACTCATAGGCTGAGATGTAAGCTGACAATACAAAGCAAATCAATTGCAAAATGAAAACTAATCCTAAAAAAGACACAGAATACTATCATGTTAATAAAAGTGCTATTTTTATAATGATAATATAACACAAATTAACAATTTTCAATAAGAATTAAGGATAATGAGGTGATGAGCACTTTAAAACATAATTTGAGCTGGGAATGTAGCTTTGTTGTAAAGTGCTTGCAGAGCATGCCAGAACAGGAGTGGGGACGGGCTCAACTACCAGCCCTGCCCCCCCCCCAAAAGACCCACAAACAAAAGGCCCATAATTTTAATGCCAAACTGATGTTAATTTACCAATTCATTCGCCCAAGAAACCTAGGATGGAGTACACCAAGAACATTCTATTCTCCTGGCTTCACCTATTTGCAATATCCTTTCTTCATGGTGTGGAGAATTTCCGGCCATCCTCCTCAGATATTCACGTGTTACTACTTCCTGTAGTCTTTCCCAAGGTCTCTGGGTAAAACTCTCCTTAAAACTTGGAGTTGACAGTGTTGTGAAGCAACCCTCCCACTGCATTACAGTAAGTTCCATAAGCATGTCTCCTCCACTAGTTTATATCCAATACCTAGCACAATCCATGACACTGAAAGCACACAAGATGTTCAATTAATTGAACTGGAGTCTAGATATTTAAGGTCTGGGAAGGGACAAAGAAACCAACATTTATTTTCAGATGCAAAAATGACTGATATTTGCCCAAAGTACTTGCTCAAAGCCTGAGTACTTCCCCAGGTCACACACAGTGACTGTGAGAAGACCAATACCTAGGCTTCCTTTTTCAATTTAATTTATGAGGACTGGACTGTGTCTGGCTAACTGCTCAAACCTTGTTAGCCCAGGACAGAAATGACGTGCACAATAAGAAGATCCTCAATTAAGTGCTTTTCATTACAAAGCACTAAAATATTAATCCACAAACATCAAGAAACAGACATCCTAAAATTAAAAGTTTACATTAATTATGTATCATTTCCCAGTTGTAGAAATTCTGAGAAATAAAAATCACTTTGTAAGTCAATACATTATATGAAAGTAGTATTGTCAAAAATTTAATCCTGATTTCTCTTATTAAATAACATTTAAAAGTGAAATCTGTGTCGAGGTTTACAGAAACCTGTCTACAAAGAGTGAATAATGAGATAATTAAAACTGACTACAAAACATCAACATCCAAAAGAATCGTTTATACAATACACACACCAACGCTAATAAAATGCAAGTGACAACTTGCCTTTGTGGAAACTACACCCAGGATTCATATTTTGAGGAAGTTCAAGCTTATCGGCCAATGCCACACCACGATTTGCTACCATCACAGAGAGGCTTAAAGAAAATGACTACTTCCAACAAGAAAAATACTTGGATTTCATCAAAGGGAAGACAACCGAGCCAGGGTGTTCAAATGAACAAATGAAAAAGCAGTCTCCTTTCTGACTGCCAGGATTAGTGGAAGATAACATGAGTCCTTCTAGGAAACAGGTCCCTAGAATTCACTGACAAGCACGGCAGCGCAAGGGGTCTATGAGGCCAAGAAAGGCCGGGAAACCAACGCGGCCCCTCTGAAAGCTATTTTTTTGCAGAGAAAAGGGTGTGGGGATGGCTGAACACAGCTAAGCACAAAGGTGGAAATGCACCATCTGGGCGGGTCCCAGCGCTACACCATAGGCTCTGGCGCTCTCCAAGCCCCCAACCCGGTTGATAGCTTAGACCTGGGACTTGGGGTCCCCTCTTGGAGGGGAGGTGGCCGATTCCACTTAAGCAGAAGCCGCAGGTATTCACAGACCCACAAAATCTACAGGTCGAGACACCCCCTCAGAGAAGTCGCCTACTCTCAGAGCAACGGCCGCAGCCAGGGGCCACCGCCCACCCCGGCCCATAGCAGACTGCTTGCGGCCTTCCTCGGCCTGTCCCCTATCCGGCAGGCCAAGCCGGGCTGGTCTTAGCCCCAGTCGAACTGCTGGGCCTCTATTCCGCCCGCAGGGCTCCCGATCGGCAGGAAAAAGCAGAGGCTGCAAAAAGGGTCTGCCCTGGGTCTGCCTCCCCCTCAGCACTCACCATGGCGACTCCCCCGAGCCTGCAGCAAGCAGCACCTACCCCAAGCGGAGCCTCCCGCGATCAGGTGACGCTGCGGCCCCTCCAAGCTCCGCCCTCTTTAGCCCCGCCTTCGGGCCCTGCAGGAGGTTCCTCGATTGGCCCGCTTCTGGGAACCCAAGTCTCGCGTGTTTATTGGCCCTTGCCAATTCACGCTAGACTGATGGACCTGGGCGCCAGCCAGTCTCTCCATAGTGTGTGAGAGGGGGCGGTGCGGTGCAGGGCAGCGGGTGTTGCTTAGCGGCAGGCAGGAGACAGCAGGAAGGAAAGGCGGGTTCAACGAGTTTGTTAGGAAGGAAGGAGTAGAAGGAGGGGGAGCCGCCTGCCCACATTCACTGTATCCGCCTAGATCAGCACACTCGTGTTGCACCTGCGCAGAAGAAGGACCAGGATTGGTTTGTGGGGCGTTCTCAACTTGTTCCAGCCAATCCAGATGTGCCGGGGGTGGGGTCCTGACTCTCACTGGCTGGCGCTGCGTCTGCGCGCGGGTTTCGTCGTCCACAGCTGTTCGCGCGTGTAGTGCAGGCTAGCGCGATGGAGTCGGGGTTGATTGGGCGCTTAGCCCCGCGCCTGGGCCTCACTAAACCTGAAGTGCTGAGGTGAGTCCGGCCGCTCACGCCCCGGGAGAGGTCACTGTCTCACGATCCTGAGCCATTAGATTTGGCCCGCGCCCTTTTACAGGATGGGCGGTGTGGGAATGGAGCGCAGAAGGTGGATGAGACTTAGGCCCTTCTTCAAGAAAAGGTTCACGACCGTGGACTTGTATGAAATGATAAAAAGGGTCAGTTGTAGACGTCCTTAGGAACATCCAGCTTTGTGGGATGCACGGGGGTAGGAAAAGGAACGTGTCAGGGATTTCTTCGAGTCATTCTGTAGAATTTTATTGAGGGTTTATTTAACTTAGTGACCCAAACACGGTACGGACCCTCTGGGGATCACGATCTGCCAGTGGCAAAAACCACGTAGAACACTGCAGGATAGTGTGCCCGAGCGATTGTGGGGCAGGGCGTGGCCTGTCAGCCACCTTTAATAATAATTCAGGAAAGGCCCTGGAGGAGGTGCCTTTTGCTCAAAGACGCAATTGATGTGAGGTCCAGACATGGGAAGATGTGGCAAGAGCAGCTCAAGCAGGCAACTGTTGCAAAATCCTAGAGATCAGAAGGAACATTGCAGGTCCGAGGTTCAAAAACACCTTTGCAGCCAAAGGTTAAGCCCGGGAGGGAGAAGCAAAAGAGCACTCCTTAAAAAAATTTAATTTAGGGACTGTGGCTGTCGCTCTCCGGTAGCGCACTTGCCTGGCATGTGTGACGCACTGGGTTCCATTCTCAGCACCCCATATAAATAAATAAAATAAAGGTCTATCAACAAGTAAAAAAAAATAATATAGGACTAGGTAATCGTTTAGAACAGCGGTTCTTTTTAAGTGTGATCCCTGGACCCGCAGCAGCATTATCATCTTGGCAGTCTTTAGAAATACAAATTCTTGAACCCCACTCCACACCTACTGACCAAACTGGCCAATGGGACCCAGAATCTGTTGTCATAAGCCCCAGGGTGATTGTCCTGTAAAGTTTGAAAGCCAAGAATTTAAAGGAAGGGGAAATAAAGAAGGGACCCTGATCCAACCTGCCCACCTCTGATTGTTCTTGTTTGTTCCCATAATGGATGGAGGAAAGAAAGGTTGGTTTTTTTTTGTTGTTGTTGTTTTTGGTTTTTTTTTTTTTGAGAAATAGACTTTTACCTGAAAGCACTTGGAAAGTGATGTTGGGAATCAGGTTTTGCTACTGTCCTTTAAAACTTCCCCTCAGCACAGAATGTGAACTTCATTCTCAACCCCAAATAAACTTGCATAGTAGTTAGGCTCAGGATGAAGTCCATCAAGCTGTATTCATTGTTTACATAATTGTCAGACAAACTTCTGAAAATAGGGTTTTTTCCTTTAATACCACTATTTTATTTATTTTTATGTGGTGCTGAAGATCAGTCCCAGCACCTCACAAATGCTAGACAAGCTTTGTACCAATGAGCTACAACCCCAGCCCCTTTTTTTGTTTGGTTTTGGTTTGGGTACCAGGATTGAACCCAGGAGTGCTTTACCACTAAACCACATCCCCAGCCCTTTTTGAGACAGGCTCTCAAGTTGCTTAGGTCCTTGCTAAGTTGCTGAAGCTGGCTTTGAACTTGCCAGCCTCCTGCCTCAGCCTAGGATTATAGGTAGGTGTGTGCCACTACTCCTGGCCTGAAAAAGATTTTTGATTTGCATATTGCCTTTATAGAAAAGCAGAGGAGTACTTGAGACTGTCCCAGGTGAAGTGCATTGGTTTATCTGCACATATCACAGAAACCAGCAATGCAGTCATGTGCCTGGACCTTGCTGCTTCCTGGATGAAATGCCCCTTGGACAGGGTAAGTAGGTCCCATCAAATGTCTGAATAACCTAGCACAACACTAGAGCTTAGCTGTTATATTTTACTTTTTGTTAGATTAGACCCAGTTAAAAACTTTTCATGTTTTAGAATTTTGGTTATTATTATATGTTATTCTAGATAAAACTTTAGACTCATTTTGTCAAGTTGGCAAAAAATATTTTTTGCAATGTTTTCTCTTTACTCTTTATTTCCCTAACCACCTCTTTATTCATAGAAGCCATCTCCCAAGGGGTTGTTAGCTTGATCTCCTGAAGCACATATTTTGAATCTCTGATCCCCATCCCCCACTGTCACAGTGATTAAGAGAAGCAGCTTTGGCGTCGGAAGAGTCAACAATGTTGAGATCAAATCTTAACACCATTCACTAGCTCTGTGAGCCACCAGTTTCTTCAACCATAGAGATAAAAATGTTCATTTCACTGGGTTGTTATTATTATGATTAAACAATATTACTGTATGTAACACCATTAGCAATATGTGTGTCATGGTGGATACAATCATTAAATGGTGTAAATGTTAAAAACAAAGCTGTTTGTAGCTTGAGGTTAGACTCTCTTGAGCCCTGACCTCAAGCTACACTATTCACTTAATAGACTTGTTCACTTTAATAACTTTTGGCTTTGAAAATGCACCTTGATTTCCTGGAGTGCTCTTCTGGAAAGCTCCTATTTGTCTTACATGACCCCACCTTGTTGTTATATTCTTTTTATATATATATATTTATTTATTTTTTACTTGTAAAAAAGATATGTAGACACATATCTTTATTTTATTTTATTTCATGTGGTGCTGAGGATCGAACCCAGGGACTCTAGCGTGCCTAGGCGAGTGCTGTAGCTCTAAGCCACAATCCCAGCCCCTGCTGTTATATTCTTTATGAAGCTCTCCTTAATTCTCTCAGAGTTGTTTCCCATAGTTATTGATTGTCCTGTTTTTTTCTCTCCTGGTTTCCTTCTCTTCTCCCTTTCCTTCCTCCATTACATGCACCCTCCCCATATCCTTTTCACCACTTTCCTCGTTCTTTTTCCCAATCATTTGTACACTGGGCACCTTTGTTGAAAAACAAGTAACCTTATATTTGTTCCCATGTTGTTGTTGTTTTTAATTATTTGTGCATATGCATAACTACCTTTCTATTTTAAGAGCTTCCTGACTAGGACTAGGTAATCCTTTAGAGCAGCAGTAGTCTGCTTGACATGATTACTGATTTTCTATTAAATGAAGTTAAACCTTTAATTAGAGTGATTTGCCACAGAATTAATTTTGAAGAGTTTATGCTGCTTATGAATTGTTTAAATCATAGAATTTATTATTTGTGTTTTTCCTTTCAAAGCCTTATTTAATTAAACTTTCTGGTTTGAACAAGAAGATGTATCAGAGCTGTCTTAAATCTTTTGAGTGTTTACTGGGCCTGAATTCAAATATTGGAATAAGAGACCTAGCTGTACAATTTAGCTGTACAGAAGCAGTGAACATGGCTTCAAAGATACTGCAAAGGTATGGGCATAAAGAACCTTAACTGAAAGTGCATGCTGTAGATAAAGCAGAATCATACAGTGATCTATTCGGGTTAACTTTCAGTCTTAAAAAAAAGAACTTAAGATGCTAAATCAAAGAGTGTTTATCTCATGTATTTAAAATATATTGTAAGTTCTGATTTGCATTTTCAGTTCCTTTTGAAATACTATTTCCTAACAATTCTACAAATACACTATTCCCCCAGTTACGAGTCCAGTCTTCCCCAGACACAACAAGTAGATCTTGACTTATCCAGGCCACTTTTCACCACTGCTGCACTACTTACAGCATGCAAGTAAGTGTTTCTATTAACATTCAGAAAAGCTTTCAAATTTTTAAGTGGGTTTTTTATTCACAAAGAATACTTCTAACTTTGGTTGATTTTAACTCAGAACATATTTTCCCCTATAAATAACATTAGGAATATTGGCTAAGTGACCAGATTCTCAGTTATCTCATAATGTACCCATAATGTAGCTGACAAGTTGGAACTAGGGCTGCCAGAAGCTCATTTGCCAAGTGGCAGCTATATATGTAAGATGGATATTCTAATTTCAGAGTCTGCTTTTTATAAGTGATGAAATCTGTCAAAACAGTGGTCATGTGTGATTTTCTAGTCTTTTTTTTTTTTAATGTTAACTGTTCTTCAATTCATCTTAAAATTATGGGTTATCTATGTATATATCAAATTGTTACCTAATTGTCACAAAATTACATGTGCATTTTAATTCTATTCATCTAATAAACAAAGAGCTTAAAAAGGCAAATTTGCATGGTGCTAGCTAATGACATGTTTAGAATAAAGGTAAAAAACTGTAAACAGTTGGGTTTTTTAATAAAGCATAGGCAAAAAGAAATAAATTTATAATCTAGGGCTGGGGTTGTGACTTGCCTAGCATGTGTGAAGCACTGGTTCGATCCTCAGCACCACATAAAAATAAATTAAAAAGGGGGCCTGAGGTTGTGGCTCAAGTGATAGAGCACTCGCCTAGCACCTGTGAGGCACTGGGTTCGATCCTCAGCACCACATAAAAAAATAAAATAAAGATAGATAGATAGATAGATAAGGTCCATAAACAACTAAAAAAATTTGTTTTTAAATAAAGGTATTGTGTCCACCTACAACTAAAAATTAATGTTTTAAAAAAATTATAATCTGGTTGGTCAAAGAAGAAAGCTGTGCTGGTCCTGATGTAAGCATTTATGAAATTCTTTCATAGGATTCTAAAGTTAAAAGTGGATAAAAACAAAATGGCAGCCACATCTGGTGTAAAAAGAGCCATATTTGATCGACTATGTAAACAATTAGAGAAGATTGGGCAGCAAATTGACAGTGAGTATTCTGTAATTCAAGAATGTATCATTTGAAAATGTGGACTTGCTGGTAAAAGTAAGATATTTTTAAACTTGTAAACTGGCTATTTTCTAAATTCTGTACTTAATGTGGGCCAGATAATGTTTTTAGTGAGAAAACTGATTTTTGTATTTTTCAAGTAAAACAAAACAAAAAAAACCCTATGATTCCATGAATTTATACCTGGAAAATGGATTCTTTTTTTTTAACATGCTGTAATGTAAAATACCATCTGCCATATACATAAGCTAGGATACAAGTGGTTCTCAAATCTCATAAGAGGAACAGCAAGAAAAGGGCAAGATCACTTGCCTTCACCTTATCCTGCTATTTTTTTTTCATCGAAGTATCTAATTTTTATTTGTGATTCAAAATACATCCAAATACTAAAATTGAAAATAGGAGGAAAAGTAACCTTGATAACACTTTTTTCTTTCCATATAGATAGAGAACCTGGATATTTATCTAGTCCACCCCAGAAGAAAAAGAAAATAGTGGTTGAACCACCAGTGAAGGGTAAGGCTTACTAACACCATAATGACACTGAAATTAATGCAGTGTGATTAAGGCAGACTGCAGTCCTGTGCTGCTGTAGCAGCTCCCCTGACAAAGAGTATAAATCCTGACCATTAATCATTTGACACGACCAGTTTTCCAAGCAATCAGTGGAAGTAACAGAAACATTATGTAATTAAGAATGTGTCTGAAGCCAAACTGCCCAGGTTCAAGTCCTGCTTTCCTACTCTTAAGAGCTTTTGACAAATTTAGCAGTTTTTTGAACAAAGAACCTCATGAATTGGACAACAGTCAAATCCGAAAGAAGTTCAGAGGGTTGCAAAAAGCAGTATGAACAGTAAGATTTTATAGACTGAACCTGGAAGTAGAGAAATCACCTAATTGACTATGGCTAAGCATTTTTCTCTTTGAGCATGATCAGATATCCGGGATGTCCCTAGCTGGTTTTTGAGGCTTTTTTTTTTTTTTTAATCTTAGCTTCAAAAAGGTAAGTTCTAGTTTGCTTACATAGAAAATCCAGCTATCTCATATTTGTTTTAACACTACCTACAAGCTGGGTGATTTTTTAAAAAGTCACATAATTTCTGTGAATCTCAATTTCCTAATCCTTAAAATGTGATTAATATTAGAACTCACTTCATAGGATTGTGATAAGGGTTAGATGAGATACTGTTTAAAGTGCTCAGTTCAGTGCCTATTAAACACAAAAAGTGATAAATGTTGACTACTATTAGATGTCTTGGAATGCTTGGAGTAAATGTAGAAAAAAGTGATATGCCATTTCTGTATTTTATTACCTTGATTAATTGAAATAAATACTTTAAACAAATTTGCTTTTTTTTTTCTATTTCATATGTAAACATAGGAATTTTAAAGCTAGTTTTTAACCTTTTCTCTCACAGAAATAGAAAAAGTAGTAGAGGTCCCACATACATCTCAGAAAGATGAAGATCTGACACAGGATTATGAAGAATGGAAAAGGAAAATTTTAGAAAATGCTGTGAAAGCTCAAAAGACTACAGCAAAGTGATTGCAGTTTCCAGACTGGTATGTGCTGCAAACCTACGGTACGCTGCCACTTCCAGGAAGATTTTAGGACTTTGGGATTTTGTTTGAACTTTTATAACAATACCCTATTGCCTTCATAGTAAAGAAGCCAGCACTAGGGCTAATTTCTGTTCTGGGCTATGGGCTGGCCCCTGCCTTGACAATATTAAATCAACTACAATACTTCAGCTCTCCACAGGTCTCCACTCTCCCACAAGATGTAATAGAAACCACTTTGCTTTTCGATTGTGTTTTAAGCTAAAGGCAGTTTCCATTTCTATCTGGAATATAAATTTCAGGCTGAATGGAATCTTACCAATTCTACTTAAGTTGTGTGTGTTTTTTGGTTTGACTAAATATATTGTACAGCCTATATTAATAAATGTTATTTTTATATACACTCAGATTGCAGTTGTCACCAGTTTGGAAGAATCTTTGTTAGGCCAGAATCTGTCCACTCTTGCAGGGGGAGAAAACAAGTTCCTGTATGTTCATAGAATTAAAAACTTGGGACTTAACGGGTTAAAATCTACACACTTCAAAATGTAACCTTCATAAATAGTATTTAATTTTAAATTATGGAAAGGTCTATTATAGAGGTTAGGAAGTTGCTTGGCATCATGCCACACATGATTTTAACTAAAATTAAAAATATATGATCTAATTCAATACTTCCATGATGGTATGAATTTCCATGATAATATAATTGCATTCAATTTTAAAATCTATTCACATTGGCCTCAGAAATAATAGTTGCTTTTTGTCTGCTACAAGTAGAATGATTCAGGGTGTTTTTTTTTTTTCTCTCCTACCTTTTTTAATTCTAGAAATTTATCAAACTAAAGCTAAAGGAATACCATAGTCATATTACCTCAACAAAGGCATATTTGGCAAACCCCATGGTATTGGGAAATGAACATGAGCTTTAGAACCACACACACTTGGATTTAAATTCTGGCCAGGAGTGATGGTACATGCCAGTAATCCAACAGCTTGGGGAAACATAAGTTCCATAATTTTTAAAATGAAAATTCAAGTGATTTAGTCAGGAAGATTGCAGGTTTGTAGCTAGCCTCAACAACTTAGCAAGGCTATAAGCAACCTAGTAAGGCCCTGTCTCAAAATAAAAGAAGGTGGGGATGTGGCTCAGTGGTTAAGCGCGCCTTAGTTCAATTCTTGGTACAAAAAATAAATTCTGGGGCTGGGGATGTGGCTCAAGCGGTGGCGCGCTCACCTGGCATGCGTGCGGCCCGGGTTCGATCCTCAGCGCCACATACAAACAAAGATGTTGTGTCCGCCAAAGGCTAGAAAATAAATGCTGAAAATTCTCTCTCTCTAAAAATAAATAAATAAATAAATTCTGTCTCTGCCACTTCTCTCCTAAGAAGAGTTCAACACTTTAATAAGCCTGTTTAATGCTTATAAAATACATGACATATAGGAGGTATCCACTAAGTAGTAGCTTTTGTTATTAATTTGAACTAATATGGATAAGGGGATCATCCCTATTTATTTTAAAAGCTTACATAATTTGTTTTTATTTGGTGCCAATATTTAAATTTCTAGCTTTGAACCAAAAGCAATGTATTCACAGTATCACATGCTAGGCAAACGCTTTACTACTGAGCTATATCCCCAGCCCTCCCTTTTTTAAGTGTACTGTTCAGCAGGGTGTCTTGATCCAAATGCCCTTTTAGGGCAGGAGTCCATTGTTTTGCGACCAATCTCCAGAATTTTTTTCATCTTACAAAACTGCCAATTAAACAATTCCCCATTCTTCCCTTTCCCAGCCCACAGACACATTCTTTTTGTCTCTGAATTTGATTGGGTACTTCATATAAGGTATTTCTTTGAGATTTATTTATTTTACTTAGCATAATGTCTTTAAGATTCATCCATATTGTAGCATGTCAGAATATCCTTCCTTTTCAAGGTTGAATAGTTAGTCCATTTACTTTTTCCCCATCTATTCATGAATCAATGGGATGCATGTGTTGCTTCCTCTTGGTGGTTATGACTAATGCTGCTGTGAACATGGATTTATAGATACTTCTTGGCAATACTGGTTTCAGTTCTTCTGGGTATGTACCCAGAAGTGGTGTTATTGAAATGTGGTAATTCTATTTTTAAATTTTTGAGGAGCCTTGATATTGTCCATTTCACATTTCCATCATTAGTTCCCATCAGTAGTCCCTACGTGCTCATCAATGCCGATTATTTTTATTTTATTTTCCTGTGTTGGTTTTGGTTTTAGGTTTTTTTCATAGTTGCCTTCTTAGTAGATGTGAGGTATCTCATTGTGATTTTAATTTGCATTTCCTAATGATTATGTTAAGCATATTTTCATGTGTTTAGTAACTCTTCATATTTTCTTTGTAGAAATGTCTATTCAAGTCCTTTGCCCTTTTTTCGGTAGGGTTGTTTAGTTTTTGTTGTTGGGTTGTAGTTCGTTATATATTATAAATACTAACCTTTATATATTGGGGAAATTGGAAAATGTTTTATCTTGTTCCTTAGATTGTCTTTTCACTCTGTTATATCTCTCATGCAGTTTTTAATTTTGATGTAATCCACTTGGTCTATTTTTACCTTTGTTGCCTGTGCATTTTGCTCATGTTCCAAAAAAATCATTGCCAAATCCAATGTTATGAAGTTTTTCCCATTTTCTTCTAAGAGTTTTATAGTTTTGACTCTTACTATTAGATATTTCATTCATTTTGAGTTTATTAGCACATTTACTTTGAAATTACACTATTAAGATGAGATTCTGGTAAATCTGAAATTTCTGAGCCTTATTCATGTGTGAGAATAAATTTTCTTTAAAGGCAGGTATTAGTAATTATTTTGATTATTTAGAATGTAGCAGAGGGAGTGGGGAATTGCTGAAAGCAGTCTTGGTCCAAATGCCCTTTTAGGGCAGGAGTCCTTTTTACAATTTTCCAATACATTCACACCCCAGTGATGGAAGATTATACCCCAGTAATGGAAGATTACTAATTAGTAAATCCATCTGTTTCAGTACTGTTTTTATATAAAAAACTTTTGGAGGCTCAGCTCTATCAAACTTAAAATTAAATTCCCTCAATGACTCTGAATTATCTTTTTACTTTTATTCAAATAAAAGTCCAAACAAAGTCCACACTTAACACTGGGTTGCTAATTTTTAGTTGTAAAAGCAATACATACATGTTCATTGCTTAAAAAAGGAAAAATTCAAATGATTCAGAAAGTTATGAAGTAAAAAGTAGAATACCCCTTCCCACTCATCTGCTTTTTGGACCATATTGTGAAGTTTTTTGCATATCCTTGAGTTTTTAATGCACATATAAGCATATGTCTCTTCAAATGGGTTGATGCCATACATATGTTCTATAATTTTAAAAAAATTACATATACATATATATGTATATATATATAATTTTTTTTAACTGTAGGTGGAATCAATACCTTTATTTTATTTATTTGTACATGTGCTGAGGATTGAACCCAGGGCCTCACACATGTTAGGTGAGTGCTCTACCACTGAGCCACACCCCCATCCCATGTTCTATAATTTTTTAAATGAGAAGATGACTTTTAGTAGATCTAGATCTATCTTTAATAGCTGTGAATTATGCAAAATTTATTTAACTAAACTCAAACTTTCATTGAGTCATTAGCAACAGTGCTATAGTAAAAAAAAAAAAAAAAAAATTGTATAAACCTCTGCATATTTTTTCAAGTACTAAGAGATAAATTTCCAAAAATAGAATTGCTACATAAAGTGTAGGTGCCAATATTTAAATGGAGAAATGACATTTTTCCCACACCCTTACAAACTTTTCACCAGCCTTATAAATGAATAAGGTAGACCCTGATACCTTTTAGTTTCTCTGCCCAAGAATTTCCAATGACTATTCATCAAATGATTAAAGTCCCATTAGAAATAGTTGATACTAGCACTGTTCTAATCTGAAATATTTTGAGGTAAGTACACACCGGCAAGTAGAGAACTAAAAATATCCATAAATTCAAGCTTCATAAAAACTCCTTTTTTTAATATTTATTTTTTAGTTATAGGTGGACACAATATTTTATTTTTATGTGGTTCTGAGGATCAAACCCAGTCCCTCATGCATGGGCAAGTGCACTACAGCTGAGCCACAACCCCAGCCCTCATAAAAGCTCCTTTGAGTTTCAAATTGGGGGCTAAATGTCATATTACCTCTTATTTGTGTAGATTCATATTATTTCCCAAGGATCATACGTCCCAGAGATAAGAACTGTTGTACAAAGGGAAACTACAAAATATCCTAATTAACTTCTATAGGCTGCCCTCAAAAAACTTTTTCCAGAAAAATAACTGACACTTAAAAAATAAAACATTTTACCAAATTGTTAGTATTGTCTCAGATAGTTTCTGATGTTTACTTATTAATTGGCCAAGTTGGAGCAGGCCTGGAGGTGCTGACACTGAAAATCTGACCTTTCCTAAGAGGGTTAGCTTCCCAGACAAAAGTTACAACTTGAGAACTGCACCATCAGGATAACCTCTCCATCTTTTGCTTCCTTCTCTACACCAAGAAAATTCTTTATTCTGGACGGGAAGAATCCTGGAAAGGATTCTGCATGCATGTCTGATTAAAAATTAAAAATCACTACACCAACTAAACTTGAGAAGGTATTGGTAACTTGAGAAGGTATTGGGAATAGCACAAGAATCAAAACCAAAGAAATTAAAAAGAATGTTTCAAATAATAAAGTGTTCCTTTTAATCGCTATAAGTTGGGAAAGTGTTCAAATATACACAGAAGTTAGTAAATATGTTGCTTGCTACCTTGAGAAGATTTCAGTGAATGGATGATTTCATAAATGCTTACAATAAATGTTTAAAAATGCCCCTACATTTTTTGTCTGTTTAAGTATGAAGTGAGATGTCTTTCTGCCCTTTTCACATGAATTGTCTGTTTAAAGAATGACAACACTGAAAGTAGTATGTCCTTACTACAGCAGTAAGAGAGCAGTTTTCCTTTATTGCTTCATAATGTAACATTCCTGTATTTCTCTCAGCTGAACATCATTACATTATATTTTATAGATCAGCTTCCAGGCTTACAAAACCAGAGATTCATACCCAAGAAAAGGGAGTCAGGACGGGACAAAATTAGGAAAGAATGAAGGTATGTAGAGTTTAAAAAACACATTCCGAATTATCAGATTTAGCTGTAACAGTTGATATATTTCAAGATTGCAAACGATACTAAAGAATACACATCAATGTTGATTCTCAAAGGGAGCATAAATTAAAACAAATTTGAGGATTACTGTCCTAAGCCCACATAGCTTGACACTAGAGCAGGAAGTCCAAGATAAATCAAACGTCTAGGAATTCTTGTTTTGGCATTCTTTGTACTGGAAGAGATAATAATAATATATCTTTGTGTCTAATGAGTTCTTTAATCACATTAAATTTAGAATTTAATTCAATTCTATGCAAAGTAGGACCTTTCCTACCTACCTAAGCATGCCTACGCTTATTGTCAAAAGGAGGAATACTTGAAAAGTAAACACAGCATTTCAAACCTAGTGATCTTACAAGGCAGAAACAAAGCTCCTAAGATATTTTCTTTATAGCCACTTTTGTCCAGAAGGCAATAGCCAGAACTTTTTTTTACAAAATAAGAGGAATCAATAATAGTAGAAGGTCAGATTACTTAAAATCTTGAGTCATCTCTTCACATCACCACTGGCCTCAATAATTTCTGGGCCCATTGGAGCAGCAGAGTTGAAGATTAGGGACAAGTTGGAAATTTCCTTAACCTGTTCGCAGCAGCCACCACATAGAAATGTTTCTTGAGGAAAGAAGTTAAAAAAAAATAAAAAGAAAAAGCATATTTTTAGACCAATGGCTTTAAGAAGATATATAATGACTTAAACAAATCTACTACTTGGGTTTGTTCAGAACAAATTTCTAGAATAATTATAGTCAAATAGTTATATGACCTTAAATGGTATGTTTCAAGTAAGTATGAAGTGAGATGTCTTTCTGCCCTTTTCACATGAAAAGGGGAGCACCCTAGAGCAGTGTTTTTCAAACTGAATCACAACTCACCAGTAGGTTGTGTAATCAAATTCACGGGTTGTGGGGCTGGGATTGTATCTCAGTTGGTAAAGCATTTGCCTAGCATGTGTGAGGCACTGGGTTCGATCCTCAGCACCACATAAGTATAAATAAATAAGATGAAGGTATTGTGTCTGTCTACAACTAAAAAACATATAAAAAAAAAAAAGCTCATGGTTTTTTTGCAAGGATCTGAGTCCGTACCAAATTGTTAGAAAGCTACTTGTTTTTAAGATATATTCTATGTCTGTGGTATGAATGAGTTCTGTTATAAACAAATTATAAAGTTTTTAAAATTTAAATAGGACTTTCTCAACCCCCATTTCAGCAACTTGAAAAGTAGGCCTCAAGCTATAACCAGTTAGTTCAGGAGCTTCACCACTATTACCACTGAGAACCTATGCTCAACTTCATTCTGCCATTTCAAGTGTCCATATAACTACAAACTAAAAGTCACATTTATTCCAGTTAGTTTTGGTGTGTAGTTTTGTCTTGTTTTGGTGCCGGAGATCAATCCTCAGTGCTTTACCACTGAGCTATATCCCCAGTCCTAAGTTGCTGAGGTCTTACCAAGTTGCCAAGGCTGGCCTCAAACTTGTGATCCTCTTGCCTTGCCTCTCAAATCCTTGGGACTCCAGGCATGCACCACTGCACCCAGTTAGTGTGTGGTATATTTTAATCAAGTAATGGTTTTTTATATGAATAGATTTTTTCCCCTAAATTATTCAAAATCAAAATGTAAGTAAAAACTTAGCTAAAACTCTTACAAAGTACAGAAGATAAATGTTGCCTTTACTGAAAGAAAAAAATACCTTCCATTTTCTCTGGGCCATGTATTTCTGCAGCAATAGTTGGGATTTGAGACGAACTTTGGATTTCGAGGCTTTGGCAGGCAAATTATTCAACCATTCGTGTTTCAGGCATTGTGTGGCACTCATTCTGCAGCTGTGAAATCAAATAGGAGTCAAACTTTTAGTTGAGGTTACCCTTTCTAGTTGTCCAAAACTTCCATTGGATGGAAGCCTGAGTCAGTGGAACAAATTAATCATTCAGACAGATTCATGCCATATACCAAAAGGGAACTCCTTGTTATCTAAAATTTTGCTCCTTAAAATTGCCAGTAAATTGCCATCAGAATGTTCCCTGACCTCTACAGAAGTGATTAATTTCCACCACCCAGAGAGGGCTAGGAAACAGAGCATTAGAAGGCCATCTGTACCTCAGATTGCTCTTAATAGGTAAAAGAACCTGACACTTAAAGGAAGTTTATTTTTCCTTCCAGAGGATAATGTCAAGTGATTCTTTTGAATTAGAATTATTTTTATTCTCACATAACCTATCACCATCAGGAAAAAAAACTGAAGATCACAGAACAATAAGCTGCCTTAGAGACCAGATTCTTGAGCCTTACTCCTGGGTCACTAATACTTTTGGTTATTTTCAGTTACTATTTTGTCTGAGTATCAAAAAACACAGTGGTTCAATCCATGACTTTAATAAGAGCTGAAGAAGTCAGCATAGATTTCCATCACTAAAAAATGAGATATTCAGACCTTTATTCTGGAGAATGATGATTTTTTTTTCTTGACTTTTTTTTTAGTTATAACTTGAAAATGTGACCCATTTGTAAATAATGCATTTTTCTAAAACTCTCTTAGAGCTTATGCTTCTAGTTGTTTTAAAATTGATTGTCCCTTCCTCTGCTCCCTTTATTGTTCTGAAGAAATACAGACTAAGAAATCCTAAAGAAAGAAAGGACTCAACAGGCCAGAACAGCACCCAGATTAGGGTAACCATCAGAATGGTCCATGACAAGCAGTAAAGGGTACCTCTTCTCTTTGACAAGTAGCCGGGAAACAAAGTCCTTGGCCTCCTCTGACAGCCCTTCAAAGGTGTCAGCATCGAAATCCCAGCTACAGTTCACAATGAAATTCATGGTTTCTGCATCTGTTTCCCCTAGAAATGGGGACAAACCACTGAGTCTATAGAGGAGAGAAAGAACCATCAGTTTGTGGAAGCCACATTTGCTGCACTTCAAAAGAATAGAGAAGAATCATGAGGGTCAAGCAGACCTAACCAGAATCAAAAAGCTTCAAAAGAAAAATACTCCTATTATTTCTTCATAGGATACAGTTCAGCGTGTTAAGAGAAGGAGACAGAAGGTTTAAAACTTTAGAGGTAGGAATGGTATTTGGAATAAGTTCCCTATCATTCTCACCTCTTGTCAACTCAGTATGTCCAGAATATATTAATTTTTTAAAATTTTTTTATTCTAACTTGTTATATATGAAAGCAGAATGTATTATAATTCACGTCACACATATAGACACAATTTTTCATATCTCTGATTGTATACATAGTATATTCACACCATTCGTGTCTTCATACATATACTTAGGGTAATGATGTCCATCTCATTCCACCATCTTTTTTACCCTTTTGCCCCCTCCCTTTCACTCCCTCCCCTTTGCCCTCTCTAGAGTTCGTCTAATCTTCTCATACACCCACTCCCAGCCCCACTATGAATCAGCCTCCTTATATCAGAGAAAACATTCTGCATGTGGTTTTTTGGAATTGGCTAATTTCACTTAGCATTATATTCTCCAACTCCATCAATTTACCTTCAAATGACATGATTCTATTCTCTTTTATTGCTGAGTAATATTCCAATGTGTATATATACCACATTTTCTGTATCCATTCATCTACTGAAGGGCATCTATGTTGGTTCCACAGTTTAGCTATTGTGAATTGTGCTGCAGTAAACATTGATGTGGCTGTGTCCCTGCAGTATGCTGTTTTTAAGACCTTTGGGTATAGACCAAGGAGTGGGATAGCTGGGTCAAAAGGTGGTTCCATTCCCAGTTTTCCAAGGAATCTCCATATTGCTTTCCATACTGGCTAAAGAATACATTAATTTAAAAATAGTTTTCCATGTCTCTTCAACAAGCAGGGGTCATTCAGATACTACCCTCACCTTGAGCCAAAGGGAAATTGGCTTTGTTAGGCTCCTTCTAAATTCAGGACCGAGTGGCAGGGCAACCTAAGTGTCTGACTCTAAAATTCCCCAGCCTGATGCAGCAGACACAAAGTGCAGGGATGTAGGTAGCAGTAACACAGTAATGATGAGAATAAGAAGTAAAACACGACTTTTGCCTCTAAAAAAATAGCAAAGGGGAGTCCACAGTTGTAGATAAGAAACAAGGAGAAGTGACAAAGTAAGATGACACAATAGTGTCCAACCTGCCCATCCCCTTGCCTTAGCCTCTGATACATTCCAGCCCCCGGTGACAAAGCACCCACATTTCTTTCCTGAAGCTTTTCCAATTAAATCTTGCTTTACTAACCAGGAAATTAATTCTACCCTCACATACACACCTGGGATTAGCCCGCAAACAAGAACAAATAAAAATTGGTATATAAATAACTCAGTAAGTACTCCACAATGATTTCAGAGTTCCCTGGTAGAATTAAACTTCAATTGCCCGCAGATGGACCTTACCGCATTGGTTATTTCCAATTATTATTTTATGTCTTGAGTCTCAAAAACTCAGTGGCTCAACCCATGACTATTAACCCATGACTTTGATAGAGTGCTAAGTCCTAAGTAAGCCTTCATTATGAAGAAATGAGGTATTCAGACTTTTATTTTGGGGAATGACAACTTTATATCTTAACTTTTTTTCCCCATATTAGCCTATTATAATTGGTAACTTTTGGGGCTGGGGCTCAGCAGTAGAGCCCTCGCCTAGCACGTGCGAAGCACTGGATTCGATCCTCAGCACCACATAAAAATAAATGAATAAAATAAAGCTATTGTGTCCAACTACAACTAAAAAAAAAATTAAAAAAAAAAAAAGAAATAGGATCCATTAGTAAATATGGTTAACTGGCTTGATTCACTCCCTTAACTGGCTATCTTCCCATCTCTCTACCCTACTCTTCTATTTGTGTTTCCTGGGAACACTTCCCAAATAAACTACTTGTGTTCAAGTTTTTGCTGCTCCAAAGGATACCCAAAGTAAAACAGATGGTCCCCAGCCCCACCTCAGAGCCCCTAAGCACTCACAGCATGTAGGTGATGACTCCCACACTCCACATGTCCGTGGGGAATGAAACAAACTCATAGTTGACAACTTCTGGGGCCAGGAATTCAGGAGTACCAAAATTCACCTTCAGCTTTTCCCGAGGCTTGTACCTGAGAATGCAGAAAAACATGGAAGAAGATGTGAATGCTGGGACTAATTCCTGGTGGGAGGAGACATTGTTTGACCCTCTGTCCAGCATATTACCTGAACCTCACACACCACACATGTGGCTTACAGAAAAACCACAATCCTCTTCTAGGCATTTACAGCCAAAAAAGGAGAGAATATCAATACATCTTATTGGGCTATTCAGCTATACGAGTGAGTACAAATGGGATAGAAGATGTTGGGAAGGGACTGCTCTGTCAATGTGCACAAAGTGACTTAAGGGATGATGGTAAGAATTAGAAAAAGAAAAAAGCTAGACATGGTGGTGCACGCCTGTAATCCCAATAGCTCAGAAAGCTGAGGCAGGAGGATTCCAAGTTCAAAGTCAGCTTCAGCATCTTAGACCTTGTCTCAAAATATAAAAACGGATGGGGATATGCTGCAGTGGTTAAGCGCCCCTGGGTTCAATCCCTAGTACCAAAAAAAAAAAAAAAAAAGAAGAAGAAAAGATTTTGTTACTTATCATTAGGGAATGTAAATCAAAACAACAAAGTGATACCACTTCACTGAACCCCGGTAAGTATGTGTACCTCATAGAAGGTAGAAAGGAAGGGAATTTCAATTAGATTGTAGAGGTACTAGAAAATTTATGTTGGTGGGAATGTAAAACAGGGCAGCCCTATGGAAAATAGGAAGGGAGTTACCCAAAAAGTTAAAAAATAGAATTACCATGTGATGTAGCAATTCTGGGTAAGTTGATCTGCAATAATTGAAATTAGGGGCTCCAAAAGATATGTATATACCCATGTTCATAGTAGCATTACTTACAATAGCAAAAAGGTAGAAGCCACCCAAGTGATCATTGGCAGATAAATGAATAAAGAAAATAGAATATTATTCTGCCTTAAAAAGGAAGATAATTCTGGGCTGTGGATGTGGCACAAATGCGCAGGACACTGGGTTTGATCCTCAGCACCACATAAAAAATAAAATAAAAATGTGTGTCCACCGAAAACTGAAAAATAAATATTAAAAAAAAATTCATCCTCCCTCCCTCCCCCCCCCCCTCTCTCTCTCTCTCTCTCCCTCTCTCTCTCTCAAAAAAAAAAAAAAAAGAAGAAGAAGAAGAAAATTCTGATACAGGCTTCAACATGGATGAATATAAGGACATGCTAAGTGAAATCAACTAGTCATAAATACCATGTGATTCCACTGATGGGAGGTAACTAGAGCAGTCAAATTTACAGAAACAGAAAATAAAATGGTGGTTACCAAGGGTTGGAGGCAGGGGAAAACTGGGAAGTTATTTAGTGGATATAGAGTTTCAGTTTTACAAGATGAGAGAGTTCTAGAGGCTGATTGCACAATAATGCACTACTACAGTTGTACTACTGTACACTTAAAATTAAGATGGTAATTTTTTCAATTATCTTATCCTAAATGGCAAAAATTGTATATTTATGATGTATAGCATGGTGTTTTTGGTATATGCATAGTTTTTGAAATAGCTAAATCAAGCTAATTAACATGCACCTCACTTTTTTATGTGGTGAGAACACTTAGAATCTATTCTCTTAGCAATTTCAGATATACAACATATGTTATTAATTATAGTCACCATGTTGTACTATGAATCTCCTTAACTTATTTTTCTTCTCTCAAATTTTGTTATCTTTTTTTTTTTTTTTTTCCCTGTACCAGGGATTGAACTCGGGCACTCAACCATTGAGCCACATCCCCTTCCCTATTTTGTACTTTATTTAGAGACAGGTCTCACAGAGTTGCTTTTGCTGAGGCTGGCTTTGAACTCACGACCCTCCTGTCTTTAGTCTCCTGAGCTTCTGGGATTATAGGCATAAGCCTCCATGCCCAGCTGAAATTTTGTATTCTTTATCCAATATCTCCCCAATGCCACTAACTCTCCCCCTAGTAACCACCATTCTATTCTGCTTCTGTGATATCATCCTTTTTAGAGTCCACGTATTAGTGAGCTTATGCTATATTTGTTTTTCTATGCCTGACTTATTTTACTTAATATAATGTCCTCCAGGTTCATACATGTTTCAAATAATACTTCCTTTTTTTAAGGTGAAATAGTATTCTATTTCATATATATTCTACATTTCCTTTATTCACTCACCCATTAATGGACATTGGGTGGTAAATTGTATATTATGTGAGTTTTTAAAATCATGATTCCCAAAACAAAGAATTAGAAGATGTTATGGGCATGAAGTTTAAGCAAAGCTAAAAAGAGAGTTGATGGCTGAGTGGAAGAAGGGTGGCAAACTGTGCTTTTTAGAATCACTCTAAAAGGAGAAGAAAATCTCTAGTTAAAATTTAGTGGGTACTTTCTGTCAGGTACTGTGCTAACATTTTTACATACCAATATTATACCTTTCATTTCACAATAGCCCTATGAAATAGGTAAGGTAAGGTTATTGTCTTCATCTTATAGATGAGTCAATTAAGAATAAAATGAATCAAATAATTATTCTGCCAAAATACCCTGTTTCCTTCAAACCACTTTCTAAAGAATCTTCTCTTCCAATTTACTGGGATCTAGGTAAATACAGACCTAGGGCCAATACAACCTACATTCATCCAGGGAAAGAACAACAAAGGGGTTGATGGGATTTCCAACAGGAAGCTGAGAGAGCATGTAAACCCTCCTCTGGCAATCTAATCTTCCCCTGCACTATCAACTGGCCCAATACTTTTGGTAAAGGAGGAAAAATGAGAGGACCAGCCTTCCTCTCAAGAAGAGAAGGCCTATTCTCTCGACCCCTTCCCAGGTGGCATTATCATTCCCAATGTCTCATTGTGTCCCTTTCACTAAAAGTATAATATATTTATTGACTCCTCCCCTTAATGTTGGGGTTGGCCATATGAGTTGCTCTGATCAACAGAATGTGGGTGGAAGTGACATTGGGCCAATTCTTACAATTCTTATCTAGGCCATGAGAGCTTGTTCTTTGCTCCTCTACCATTATTAACATGAGAAGTGAATGAAATACACATGGAGCTGATGTGACCTCACTGATCACATCTTGGATCTAAGCTCAGCCTAGATCAACTGACTCTCAGCCAGTGGTGTGGAGATAAATGTTTAACAATCAGCTATTAGTTTACACACACACACACACACACAAAAAAAAAAAAAGCCCTGATTTGTAGCATTTGCCAATTACTGGGGTGTAAATACTAATTTCCCATGGCTGATTTCAAGGTACTATGATAAAGTCACTAATTCACTAATTGAAGACTTGGGAAGAGCTGCTTAATTGCTTACCATTCTGGAGTATTTCTACCATACAGCTATAAGAGACATAAATAACCTCAGGAGCATAGACTGTAGTAAAACAATTAGGTAGGATGTTTTTAGTACATGGTATCTTAGTTTTTAATGTAATTTCTTTAATTATAAAGAAATTTAATTTATAGTTTTAGTTTTAATAACAGCTGTGTTTAACAGCTGAATTACAAAATTCCAACTAGTACAATAGGTTTCAACTGAGTTAGGTTTAGTATACCATTACCTGAGGTAACTCAAAAATGTGTATATGAGAATACATCATCAGGGGATGTGGAGAATAAGAAAAATAGTAGAATGAAACAGACATTATCAATGTATGTATGTATGTGACTATATGACCAATGTGATTCTATAATATGTGTACTCAGAAAAATGAGAAATTATATCCTATCTATGTATGATACATCAAAGTATATAAGTGCATTCTACTGTCATGTATAACTAATTAAAACAAATTTAAAAAAAGAATACATCATTGTTGTTTTAACTCACTGGGTTTTGGGGTGGTTTGTAATACAGCAGTATTGTGACAAGAGTTAACCTATGCATTCACCCCAAAACTGTGTCAAAATATCCAACAAAACCCTCCCTCCAGATTCCTCTATGACCATAGTCTGATATAGGAAGTCTCATAGCACTTGGAGTAAGCACCCCCTTGCCCTGCTCAGGACCTGATAAAAATGATTTTGTGTTCTAATTCCAATCTGAACCCTGGTCTGGGAGCTGGGAGACTTCCAACATGCTGGAGATCCAGCTTAAACAAGATATCTCCCATCCTGTTCTCATCCTTTACCCTTAACAAGTCATTACTTAGATCCACTGATGGCTTCATTGTCCAGCTTGGGTTACCCTGGTTTCCTCTTTCTGAATGCCGGGGCCTCTGAAGAGCTCTGTATACCTCTACTCTGCCAGGGACTGTAAATCTAAGCATCTTTCAAATCCCCATCCAAAAATACAACAGCTTTTTTATAGTTCGTATTGTCTTTATAAACATTTTGTTATTCTGAGGTATAGAACATGCTTTCTGAACCTGCATGCTCTCCCCACAGAGCTTTTGACTAATTTTTGGTAAGTTGACCTTCAGCCCTTTTCACTTCCCTACCAGGTACAACTCAATGACCTATAGGATAACATGTAAATTTGTGAACCTAACATTCAGGACTCCTCATTTAGCACCCTCATTTTCTACCATATCTCTCTCAGATCAGCCTGCTTATACACAGCATATACACTTTTCTGGTCCCATAACTCCCATTGTCTCCCCTGCCTCCACCAACTCTTGCAGCTACACTAAAGTCTATTATGTGCACCTCCTCCCAACTATTCAGTGATGTTATATTGGTTGCTTGAAATTAGCAAAAAATGGTAAACATTACAAATCAACCTTACATCCTCTCACTTTCCACCTCTTCAGCTCGTGGTTAAACATTTGCCAGCACACCATTGCTCACTGTTAACAAATCCTGTCCATCCATCCCTTCTGGCTATTCAGAGAAGCCTTCCCTGACTCCAGAGGTGGTTGCTTCTTACTCTCAGTTCACAGTGTGTCACTGTAAATACCCATGTGGTAAATGGTATCTGACATTCTTTTTTCATTGTAGTTGGACACAATACCCTTATTTTTTAATTTTTTATTTTTATATGGTGCCGAGGATCGAACCCAGCACCTCGCACATTCTAGGCGAGTGCACTACGGCTAAGCCACAATCCCAGCCCAGTATCTGACATTTTGAGGAGTTTTGTCAAAGTATCAAAATAAAATCATCCCCTTACCTTCTGGCCAGCCCAAAGTCAATGATCTTAATTTGGTGTCCTGTCTGATTTACACATAGTATATTCTCTGGCTGAAAAAGAAAAGAGAAGTCTGCTTAGCTCAATCAGCAGCTAAGGAGGTCCACAGCTCCCATTTACTTGTCTATAGGCCTCAGTTTCCCAGCTTCAAGAGAAATTAATGACTTGGGGCAGCCCTACAAGGGTTATATAATGAAAATAAATGAAAGGGGCTGATGAGCCAAAAGGATTGGTTGTAGACTGTGAGAAACTGGAAGACTTCTGCCTATATAAAAGGCCAGCCACTGCTCAGCTCCAGCCACTGGCCACTGGGCAGACACAACTATTAATCCTTAGAAGGAACCAAAAACATGGGTTTTTATATGAAAATTCCATGTTTTTAAATGTCTACAACCAAATCAAACTTAAACACATTCATTATGGGTGGGAACCAAACAGAACACCTCTGTAATACAGATTTGGGTCACATGCTGCTTGTTTGAGACTGTTGGTTTGGAGTAATGGTTCCCAGCCCCAGTTGCCCATTAGAATCAAGGAGTTTTGAAAGTCCCAGGGGCAGGCCCCAGCCCTGACCCATGACACTGGCATCTCAGGGATGAGACTACAGCATCACTCAAGGAAAACAGAGCTGCTAAATGTCAACCTGCCATTTGGTGGCCTTGATATGCTTTTACTTTTAGGTCTTTCTGATCAGCTCCTAGACGCTTAGGTAGCCTAAAACAATGCTTGCTGCTTGAACATGACAAATTTGGGATGATGGGAGAGCTGAGTAAAGATGGAGGGCTTAAGATAGAAAGGACATGGAGACTTAGGGTCCAGTGCCTGAGGTCCAGGCACCCATTATCTGATTCTGTAGCCCTAGATGAGTCCCTTCCCATTCCTGAACCTCAGTATCTTCATCTTTAAAATGGGAACAATACCACTTCCTGCCTATATTCCTGGGAGAGTCAGAGGATCAAATGACATGCAAGAACACTTCGCATCTTCTAAAGCAAATGTCAGGTATTGACTTTCTCAGCAAAAGAATTGACTATTATCTGTTATAAAGTGTGCAATTCCTCAGATAAGTACAGAAGAATGATATTTTAAAAATCTCTGTCTTCTAGATCTTGGTCTAGAATACCACCATCCAATATAAATATAACATAAGCCACATTATTGAAAGTTTTCTGTAAAAACAGCCAGTCGCAGTGTAATCCCAGCAGTTTGGGAGGATGAGGCAGGAAGATCTTGAGTACAAAGCCAGCCTCAGCTGTTGGGTGCAGAGCAGGCTGAACTGTGTTGTCTGCAGGGCAGGCTGAACAGATGTTGGCTGCAAGATAGCCCACGCACTCAAACCCCCCTCTATCTGGTCCTTTATCACCTGTTTGTGTCAAGTCCCGCTCAAGGCTGAGCACTCAACCCCCCTTGGGCCAACAAGGCAGCTTGCAGACCCAGAGGCCCCATTAGATTTGGGCTATAAAAACTCCCTCCTGCCAGGCCCCCCTCTCTCTCCCTCTCTCTCTTGCTCTTTCTCTCTTGCTCTCTCTCTCTTGCTCTTTATCTTTCTTACGCGCGCTCTCTCTCTCTCTCTTGCTCTTGCTCTCTCCCTGTTCATCTCTTCTCTTTTCTCTCTCTCTCTTTCCTTCTTTCCTTTCTCTTTGTTGCACTGCTGCAATAAGGATCTTTTGGTTGCTCTGAGTGTTGTGGTCACTTTCCTTTCATTGGTGCCGAAACCCGGGAGAGGGTTAAAACCCACTTTTGGGTCCCTCTTCCTTCGGAAGTGCCACTCACCGGATGGCCTGAACCCAGGCCTGAACCCATTTTCTCAACTGCCAAAACTCCATCCACCACCGACCTTCGATTGGTGAGTTTCCCCTTCCTGGAGTCCTAAACCCAATGGTGGTGTCAGGAGGATTTGGCCGTTGATTGTCCGGCAAACCTCTTTGCCCACCTGCGGGGAGGAAAACACCCCACCACAGCCTTCAAGGCTACGGTGGCCCTCAGGGACTCCTTCCTAGGGCAGAATAGACTCCTGGGTTCAAAATTATTCCCTTCCCTTCCCAGCTGTTAGTTACCAGCATAGGCTTTGTAGGTCTCCCTCAAAGGACTGTGTAACCTCCAGGGACACATAATAGAGAACTGAACATCACAGTCCACCCAGACCTTCACCATCTCTGTGGCTCTCCTAAAATCCTAGTCCTCACACCTTCAAGACTCAGCTGCTAGAGAGAACCTTACCCTCCCCTTCCTCCCTCTTCCCCTGTCTCTCTCTTTCCCCTCTTTCCGGCCCTGCGAGTCTCCGGCCTGTCCAGGAGGGGTCCCGAAAAGAAAAGCCTTGGCCAAGGTCTCCCACAGCTCCAGCTCCGTCCAGGACGAGAGCTTTGACTGTCAGGATTCGGTGACGACCAATCTCTGCAGCTCGAACCTGCCACTAAGGCACTCCTGATTTTTGGCTCTAGCGGGGACGCCCCTTTTGCCAATAAATCAGTTTCCTCCTTCTCTCTTATACTACGGTTGCGTCTCCTTCCTTCTCCTCTATACCAAGTTTGCATCCCCTTCCCTCCTCCTTATACTACTTTGCGACATGGGTAATGTGTCCTCTCTGCCGGTCGACTCTCCCCTACAATGCCTCTTGGATAACCTCAAAACCCTCTCCTTGACACCAGACATCAAACCCCCAAAATTGATCAAATATAGCACCCAGGCCTGGCCCACTTATCCCTTAGACAACCAAAGCAGATGGCCCCCCCTTTTGGGTCCCTGGATCCCTCCATTCTAAGGGATCTCTACCATTACTGTGAGCATTCGAAAAAAATGGGTAAAAAGCTGCTATATCAAAGCTTTCTTCTTGCTTGTGCTCTCTGCACCTCTTGCAGACCTCTGCAAATTCTTCTAGCTTGCAAACCAACACCCACAACCACTGATCCCCAATCTCCTCCTCCTCCGGACTCATCCACTACTTTTGACCCTACTGATGAATTTCCACCCTATCGCCTGGCTCAAATAGGTCCTCACCCTCAACCTTCTGCCCAGCCCCTCCACTGTCTCCCCCACCTGAACAACCTGACTTCTCCTCTCCGCTCACTAGATCAAAAACCTAAACAACCGTCTTTCCTCAAAACATTGCCTCTTTTCTGAGGTAGCAAGTACTGAAGGAATCCCTTCACCCACTCACTCCTCTCTTCTCCTGTCAGTGCCCACACCGGGTCCCACCAGGTCCTCTTACCAGCTAACCCAAAGCTCAAACAAGCTGAGGAGAGCCCTTGGACCCCTATCAGAGATCTGGTGAAAATGGCCTTTAAAGTTGCTTTGTCATCACTGAAAACAGGTTACTAAGAATTGTCCCTTACAGGCTTTTTTGGGATATTCACTCCCATCCTCCCCTCTGCTCTACCTGTTCTACTGCTCAAGTTTTCCTTGCTAGGGAAAACCCTATTCTTTTACATCACTCCTTCCTCATTCTCAGATCCACTGACCTGCTCTCAGCCCCACCTTCCCATCTTCCCCTCCTTACCCAGGCCCACAGAAAAGGCTTAACTGACCTTCTCCAGAAATCTTCACCATGGCTGATTTTGGGACTTTTGGCAAAAGAATCTCTACAAAAAGTTCAATGTAGATAAACTTCCTATTTTCCTGTTGCCCTGTTTTACTTGGTCACTGGCTGGAAAAATCAGCACTCCAAAAGCTAGACACCCCCTTACTAGTTTTTCACAAAATATGTAAAACAAGGCCTCTGGCCTTGAGCTGGGGCTTCACAGAGAAGGCTACATGTCTAAGATAAGGAAGTTACCAACTGGGCTCCATGATAACAGCTGGCAGGTGTGGGGAGGGTGGGGGGAAGAGGAGAGAAAGGAAAAAAAAAAGCTCTCCCCCTCCCAAGTGTCCTTGAAGGGTTAACTTGCCCAGAACAGAGGGGAAAAAAAAAACTGCTTTTTGTGAACTTCTGCAGACTGCGAACTTCTGAGCCCCTTCCCTTACATGTTGGGTACAAAATTCTGAAACAACCTAAACTTGGGGTTCAGGGGATTAATTGATTACAGCAGAAGATGTGCCCTCTAAATCCGGCTGCAACCAAATAAAACTATTTCCCTATCTTCAGTGCTATCTTAGGTGCCTTGCCTTGTCTGTTCCTACAACAGTATAATTCTATATACTTAAACATTGTTCATGTTTTCATGAAATGGTCAACAGATAATTGTGTACTGCAAATAACAAAATATCTCTTATTAAAATGAAATAATTTGCCTAAATTCAGAAATTTACAAGGATTATTTAAAAATGTAAAAAAAGAAAGAGTTAACAAATAGGAAAGAGAAATTAGAAGGTTCTAGGTATGGATTTAATAGAAGGAAAATGTGTTTCTGGATAAGAGAGTCTGTTAAGTAAATAAGAGGGTTTAAGTAAGTGCTAAAGAAGGTCTGTATATACAACTATGGTTAAACAACAACTGTTATTTTGCAATATTGTAATATGTTATTTCTCTAAAAGCTAAACTTGACTAATATAAAAACATCAATAATAATTGTGGTACTATTACTCTTCTTTGTATATTAAATGTGCTCATATTTTCCAGGTATATGTCATTAAGATAGAAGCTTTAAAAAACTATATCAAGCTGGTGTTCTCCAAAAAGTTGCATGGTTATTTTAGGCTTATAAAAATAACATATCGGAGATTTATTTATATCATTTAATGTTTTATAACTGGACCCGTTATCAATAAGATTAATATAAAGTTCTATACACTGGGTACAATTTAAATGTAATATACTGTATTACCTAGTATTCATATGACATCAAGCAACAATATATGTAAATTTTATAAAATAATATTTAAAAAAAAAAAAAAAGATCAGCTTCAATACTAGAACACTTTACCTAAGATTTATAAATCTTAGCCTTACCTGAGATAAGGCTGTGCTTCCCATCTTACTACATGTAAGAATGACTCCAAAGTAGGCCAGACTTCAGCTAAAGCCCAGCACTCTTAATTTAGGGTGAAACTGACTTTGCTGGATGTTTATGATCAAGACTTAAAGTTAAATTAAAATGGCCAAGAAAACCAATATTTG